ATATATACGTGTGTGTATAGAGTATATTTGCAATATTAGAAGACGTTCACTTAAAAGAAACTTTCTTGTCCCCAATTTTTTTTTCCTTAACCTTGATCGTGATCTCTTTTAAGTGTATGTAAATGTTACTTTGATTTTTTGCTAAAGAAAAGAAAAAGATTATATTATATGTAGGTTAGAAAATCATATTTGTAATATATAAGGAAATATTTTCATACTTTTCGTTTTATTTCACGTGAACTTCTTATCCAATAACGTTCAAGGTTCCTTATTAGCCGAAAAAAAGTATCAACAAATAATAAGCTTGGTAATACGTTTGAAAGGAAATTTTCGCAATATATAATATGCCGAAGTGAAATCAATCGTAATCGAGAGATTCTCAAGTGAAAGTAAAGATGTACGGTGCCATAAAGAAGCAAATAAAATGGGAAAGGTATTAATAAAAAAAAGTATTATCGATACTTGCTTTTAAATTGATTTGGCACGCGGTAGAAAGGTCATTGTCATTTTTCTTGAAAGCCTATGAATATAGAAATTTGTAATATTCAATTATTTATTTATAATTAAAATAATTAATAATTATTTATAACTATTCTTTTTTTTTTATAAAATAGGACAGTGAATTGTAAAATTTGAAGTTGTAATAAAAAATAAACTTTTAGTTTTGAAATAAGCAAGACTTAACCCTCAAGACTTTTTCAACCCATCCAAGTGTATGTTTACAAATAAAAATTTATAATATAATACATATTTATCTTTTTTTATGTCAATAAATAAAGAGTTATGTGTATAATTCATAAATTAAGAAAAATAAGCTATTAGCGTCATCTTGACTCAGCAGTTTGTCCTATTTCACGCTAGGTGTCTTGTATTGTATAGTATATACTTATTCCTCCTGTTCTCCTGATACCAAGGAAAACGCAAGTCCAGAGAGAGTTCTCGTCTCGTTTTCTCTTTCTTGCTCAAGAAAAAGAATTTATAAAAACATGTCCGTCCGTATTTTTAATAGTCATTGTCTTCGTTTTATGTGCAAAAAAATGCATTAGAAGTATTTGATTTTTCATTAGGTTTTACCTAATTTTAGCAGAAACTAAAAAATTCACAAAATGACAATTAAATTGTTTAAATATAGTACTGTTTCACTATTCGAACGAATGTTATTAAAAAAAAAAAACTTAAAATAAAAAGTTAAAATAAAAAAATAAATAACTAAAATTAATAATTATTATTTATTATATATTATTATAATATATTATTTTATTATATATTTTATTATTATATTTTATTATATATTATTAATCATTATTATTATTAACAATTGTATTATAATACCTAATAGAAAGGAGATAATAAACAGAAAAAAAGTAAATTTCAGTATTTGGAAAATAAAAAAACATGTAATAAACATAAGGTTGAAGTGGAGTATTCTTCTTGAATCTTTTCGAATAATGGCTATCGTTGACATATTTCTTTTTTATGTAATGTTATTAAATGTATATATACATTATTAGATAGTGAGAAGGATGATAAAATAAAAAAAGAAGAGAAAAAAGAGAAAAAGAGAGAGAGAGAGAGAGAGAGAGAGAGAGAGAGAGAGGAAAGTAGTCACCAACGAAGAGACAGAAGATGAAAGAATCCCGTCGTATTCTTGATTTTATCCGAATCTCGATTGATAGTGTTCGATAAGCGAATGCGAACTCTTCGAGTGTGATAAGAAAGCGTGCATTATCTGGGTTGCACATTCGCGGCTTATAACAGTGTCGTCGAACCGTGAGGACGTATGTAATGTAAGATAACGAAAAGATCTTTATAATTTTGCAATATTTCTTTTCTTTTTTCTTAATTTTTTAATTCCTAAATTATCGTTAATTAGGTTCATGTAAATTTGATTTTTATTCCATCCAATTGATTTGAATATCGATTCGATCGATATAGGTAATAAATATACGAGGTTGGATTGAAAAATCTTGACTCTATTCTTCTCCTAAATGTTTTGAAACTGCATCAAAATGTTAAGATGAGGTTTGACTGAAAAAAAAAAAGAAAATTATTTCTATTTTAGCCTGAATATTTTTTAATTCACCCATGCTTATTTATTAATGCATATAAAAAAAATGTGGTATAATAAATAACGCATAATATATCGGAAAAAAGTAATGTATATCAATATAGAAGCGATAATAAAAAAAATTAAAAAAGTAAACAGAAAACAAGTTACTTACATTTAATTTATTTTTAACGATCGGATCGACGTTGAGAGCAAAATTGAGATTTCATTTCATTTCATATACGGTTTATTATTTTATATTGATATCTCTTATATTTGGATAAAAATAACTTTTTATTTCAATACTCGTGTGTAAGTAAGTATAATAAATAAGTATATGTGCATGAGAGAAATACATACGCATATGGTAAAGTATACGATGAAAACTTACGAATATTATCACGTCGATATCAAATTGTCGATCTCTTTTGGCATAATTTCTTGCATTATCTAAGGTAAAGATTTGTTTTTCAAACAGTGTCTCTCAACCTTATCGCGTTTATAACAATAAGATTCGCTAATATTAAACTCAATTTCTATCTAACATAATAAGCATATACATGTGTGCAGTAAAAACTTCAAGTATTCGAATTAATAGGAAGACATAATTGTACTCAAATGAAGGAATTTTCGTACAGTAGAACACCCACACTCAGAGATACAAGAATACAAGAATCATAATTGCGATTCTTGTATTAAAAAAAAACAAAAAGATATAATAATAATTTTAAAAAATACGACGAGGAAAAAATATAATAAGACGCTTGTAATATAAATAATAATAAATGTATTATTTGCTAATAATACAATAAGAAAGATATAATATTATGGAAAGGATGGTATTATTTGTTTAGATAATAGATGATACGAGTAGGAATGTTTATATACAGTTCAGAAGAATCGAATGTTTCGATAGTGGAGTATGCAAATAGTAAGGGATTAGATTGAAAAGTTTTGAGTAACGATAAAGCCTGTACTTTTTTTTCTAAATAAAGGTGAATTATGCTGAATAAAATCGTTTAAAACTTTTACACCTGTCTACGTAGAACGTTCATATATTGGATTGTCTTATGCTGAAGGTTGCACTGTATTAGATTGACCAAATGTTCCTATAAGAAATCTATTATAAAATCTGTGAAATTTTGCAGTTCTTCATTGTTAATTATTTTTCTTTAAATTGTACAAATGAAAATCTAGAAAATTTTTTACACGTAATATATAATTAATAAACCTAATTTTTTCCAATGTTTTCACTTTCATCAAGATGAATTCACCATAAGATAACTTTTGTCACTGTTCTTTGGAGGACGAATAAAAAAAAATGATAGAGAATAGATACCAAAGAAGCCATATCCATGCATTATCCGTGTTTACCTAGAAACTAGAAAAAGCAAACTGCTTCCCCCTTTTTCCGATATATCGGAGTAAGAGATAGCAACGACCGGTAGGAAAGTTATATATTCACTATTATATACGTAAAAAGAGAAAAGAAAATGAAGTACATAGAAACTACATTGAACGAGTTCACAAAAATTGATAAAATTTATAAATCCTCAAAATGTAGAGTTTTGCTGCGTATATTGTGTATTTAACATAATAATATAAGTGTGTGGCCACATAAATAGTTTTAAAATTTATTACTCATTTTCAACAATTTGTAAGCTACTTCCTTTTTTAAATTAAACGAAAATAAAAGCTTGAGAACAAATCTAGCATATTTTAGAATTTTTTAATCTACCTTA